ATCGATAAACATAACCCAACAATTGTACAACCAATGAGGAACGCGGGATTGATGGGCAAACAAGCGCGACCCAAACCACAGTGTGAGGCACAAGCAGACCCAATTCATTTACACACATTATCGTTTGACAATAAGTCCTAGTCTGGATCGAAACGTCACAATAAATACTATCACTTAGTGTTCGCTTCCTCCTTTTTAGGTATATATATGTTTCTGACAAAATCAGTGCTATCAAAGAGCACATTGTGTACGGGAATATTGGAAGGGAATTGATGTGTGTTGTATTCTGAACTCCAAGTACTTTGTGAACTGTTTCCGTGGATTAGTAGACGGTATAGGACCAAAAACTATCACAGATTTTCTCATCAAAGGATCACTGGATCATATTTCTGATCAATACCAAGACACCCGTTCTACTATCGGATTTCATGATGTATGAGCACCACAATCAATCGAATTGTACCTGTCGGTAGCTTGAAGTTACCGGTTCAGACAAGTTGCTTTGCAATCTTACATACAGAACAGTAGAGAGAGAGCACCAATGTGCCAGCGTTTCTAAATTCGCCCCCACAATCCAACGGTCCACCATGATGACAGTGTAAAGCACAGTAGCGGTGCAGCCAAAAGCAAGTAGTTCACGTGACTCCTTCTCAAACTGTTCCATCGCGATTGGTGCAAACCAGCCAGTCAACCATCTAGCTAGCCACATGCACAAACGCTACCGTGTACATGTCTGCGTTCAAGCGTGGATTTTGTCGCACAAAAGCCACAAGAGCCAATCAGGTCTCAATTTAGTCCATAAATAAAACCGAGCGGAGGTGATCCGATTGTGATCGCCTGTCACAAATCCGCGAACGTTCCAACTGGTTTCATTCGCGATGGCTGCTAATTTACGCGCGGAGAAAACCGGCTTTGCTAAACAAGCTGCCGAACGTATGGCGGCCAAATTTGACGGAGAAGAAGCGGCTAAAACACTGCGTTGGATTCGCCAACTACCCGTTCCAAACGGTATACCTAATCAATTTCTTTGCGCAGTGGACAAGATTCCACGGGACATTCAAACTGTGGACATGGATCAGTATGCGGATTATCTGACCGATGGTTTAGTTCTGGGCTATGTGATGGCATGTGTCCGACCAGCCTGGTTATCTCATATTCAATCGGAGAAATCCTGGCAAGTGTCCACATCCAAACCGTTCGAGATGTCTCGTCAACGTGAACGAATCGGACTGTTCTTACAATTCCTATCCGAGGTCGGTGTGCCAGGCCCGTCACAATTTCAAACTGATCAGCTGTATGAGAAAACCGGTCTAGCGCAAGTTGTGATTGCCATGAGCAATTTGGTGGTGATAGTCGGCAAATAACCTCCGAGGGACTTGTTTGTACTTTCAGGTCATGGAGATTTCACCACAGAGCAAAGGGAGAGTGAGAGAAAGTGCAACAAAGCGTACCCACACACACAGATGAGTGCGTGAATTTGTAAAACCGATTTCGTTTACTGTCCTATACATTTTATGCACACTACATCACCGAAGTTTTCTTATCACGTTCAGCTGAAAGTAGTTATATTCCAATTTGTATATCACAACTGTTGATCAGCTGGACGTTTTAACTGTGTG